AACAGTATTATTGTATAATACTGTATAAGTAGTATTGTGTAATTAACTCAAACCATTGTGTTTTTAACTCAAATTTTGCTATAATAGGCTCCATTCTTAGCTATGGGTCATCCTTAAACCAGGTGTTCTTAACCAGGGGACTACCTGTATATAATCAGAAATGTTGTTTGCCTTCTGAAAGTAAATGTTAGCTCTGTTTTGGATATGAACCATCTTTTTTGGATTTTTTTTTTATAATGAGTACTACAGTTTTGTTAAACCATGAAACTTGCCAGTTATTAATTCTGATGGAGTCCTTAAATTTTCAATCTTTAAGTATTTGCTATTTGACTTAGCTGATTTCCATTTCTTAATTAATTTTCTCTATATATTTTTTAAAAAACATTTTTTTCCATTTTGCAATCCAGTAATTTTGTTACTTCTCTGAAAATGTAGATTGAATAGATTAATACATAAAGTGCTGAGTTCTTAGCACTGTGTTAAGCGAATGTTTGTTCAGCCTTAATTTAGGCTAAATTGCTTATTGTCACACATATGTTAATCCAAAAATCATGGTTTATTTATCACAATGACAGGGACTCCTGAGTTTGCTAAGTAGCTTGGTTTTGGCTTAGTGCAGTGTATGAACCTTGACACTATACATGCATTGGGATTATAGGGTATGTGCTCACTTAGAGCATATAAATTATATTGCCTGTCTGGATATGTTTGTCACTTGCCTTATTTGCACACAGCTGCACTCAGTTGAAGCTGTTTGTCCATGTCTTTCTTCAGTAAAAATGACCCTATAAACAATTTCAATTATGTATTACCCTGCTTAATTGTTTGATCGTATTCTTCATGTTTGTATAATTGCTCTGTTTTTGGGGGGTGAACTGAATGAGATCTTTCTATAATGTAAAAGTTAAATAGTTCAGTTTTAATGTTACTTGTAAGTGTGAGATTTTCAGTTTCTGAAAATACAAGCAGTGTTAAAGGAATTCTATACAGGTGCCTCGGCAAAGCAGTATTTGTGAAATGTCTAGAGTTCAAAAGAATGCATAGCACCTGTCGCTGACCAGACAAAACCAATGTCCCTTTTCAGTTTTTGTGCAGGGTCACCCATCCTGTCATCAATGCAGCACAGCAATTAACTTTCACCTGAGCCCCAGGACTGCCCAGTGTGACTTCAGCACTCTTATAAGTAACGTCCAGGTGCTCATTTGATGTTTCCTTAAGTATGCTTTACACAGGGATATGTCTGTGCTTCAGCAGTTGCTCACTCTCCCCCATGACTTAGTAAACATCAAATCTGAAAAACCATAGTCTGACCTGGTCTTTACAGTCCATTTCTTCCAGCTATAACCTCTCTGACTGGATGGCTTCTTAGTACAGAGAGCATTAGTACCAAACTTCAGCCATGGCATTTGGCATGTAGAACTGAGCAATAGGACTGAACATAAGCATATTAATATTAATATTCTTCAACAGTATCAAAGATTGTGTAAAAATCCAGGTCATATCTAGCCATTAGTCATCAGAATATGTAGAAATCAAGATTCTTAGGTCTGGGAAAAATCTACATTCCATTTCAATGGTGCATTCCTAAAACAGGAGAAAGACACCAATAATAGACAAAGCAAAACAAAAAAAGGTTTTGCTTATTGGTATTTTAATATATGACTGGATCCAAATAATTCAGATTCATTGGATATATCCTCAGATTCATTGAGTTTCTTGCACCATACTTTCCTGAAGTGCTCCTCAGCCCAATGGGACTCATTGAGTGTAGGGGGAAGAGGTCTGTCACTGTGTAACTGTGTAAATTGGAGAGTTCCATGGTGGTAGTGGACACAAAAAAGTCCTCCCCCCCTCTCCCCCCCTTATATTATATTATATTATATTATATTATATTATATTATATTATATTATATTATATTATATTATATATGGTATGCACATACATGCATACATATTATATATTAGCAATAACTTAATGATTTGAATGAACAGGTACAAATTGTTCAGTTGAATGGCTGCCAAACCAGCTAATCTCTGATCCTACTGCATTTTAAATAGTTACTAGATACCTAGATGTCAATCATGACTTCTGATGATCTGTGATGATGCTGTGTCTTTCCTTAAGTTCTTTGTTAAAGTTGATTACCACCACTATCACCCCAGACTACTAAAAGGCACACCAAGACCCTGTGGGTTATTTTTATGTTGGAATTTAAGTTTTAAAAATGCTATATGTCCAGAATTTGAGGGGTGCAGTGTAGAAGAGGAAGAATGAAGAAGCCTGCAGTTCTGGAACTCTCTTCAAGGAAAGTTAGTTACAGCTGACAGTAGATGCAACCTCTTGAAAGCTAAGCCTAAAGTGAAGATTGGGAAAGTTGCAGATAGTGATACGACCATTTGATTCCCATTCTTTGGCAGTAATCTAATACACAGTTTGTAAAATGAGTTACTATTTTAGATGTCCTTGTTCCATACCAATCTCATTGAAATGTCACCTATTTGGTACAGTGCTACCATGCTTCTAACCCTTCAATTTCAACCCACTTAATTTAATTGCATGCTTCTTGACAAGATAAGCCAAAAATAGGTTGTCTGTCCCTCCCCTTGTAAATTCATTATGAACCTGTTCTCTCTAACAGAGTAAATTTATTTATATTATAAATATTTATTACAGCTATTCCCAAAAATGAAGTCCCAGTATTTTCAGTGTGGACATTAGAAACTATTTTTAAGCTTTGGTATCGTGTCTTTGGATTTTTTTAAATTAAACTCATATCCAGTGATATGAACTCACTCAAAGATTATTTTGTTTCTCATCCTACAGTTAGAAATGATTGCAATGGAAAATCCAGCAGATTTGAAAAAGCAATTGTATGTAGAATTTGAAGGAGAACAAGGAGTTGATGAAGGAGGAGTTTCCAAAGAATTTTTTCAGCTAGTTGTAGAAGAAATCTTCAACCCCGATATTGGTAAGTAAGTAATTTTCATGGTTAGTGTGTGATTAATTGCACTCCCCACTATTTTGTTGTCATTGCATGTTCTTTGCTTAAGTGATTGAAGTGTTGTACCAAGACTGGGGAAACCCAGCTTCAGGTCCACCCACTTGTCATGGAAATTTGTTGGATGATGTTGGGCCACACTCTCAGCCCAGCCTCACAGGTTTGCTGTTGTGAGGATAAAGTGAATGAAGATCTCCATGTAAGCTACTTTGAGCTGATGCAGGGAAAAGTGAGATAGAAATCTACCATATAAATAGAAGATTCACCCATGGCGTCATTGGGTGGAATCTGCTGGCCTCAGATAAAAATGAAAATTGCCATAGTCTCATTCTTGAAATGTCTTTGAGTTTTCATATGATCTTATGAGTTTTGGGCCATTTTTAATTTGTTTAGATGTTTAAATATTTGTATTAATACCCACACACACACATGTGTGCATGGTCACATATTGTGTGAAATCACATGGTCCTGATTACTGGCTGAACTGATTGCTAACTCTTGCCCTGACTGAATGCTTTTGCTTTGAATCTGTTTAATACGGAAGATTGAAATTACTCGTTTTCTTATCTCAGAAAACTTTGCCTTCTAATCGCTCAGTGATGGGTGGTTTTTGTTCAGATTTTTTTAAAAAAAATTCTGCTTCAGCAAAATTACATAACATCCTTCTAAAAATGATATATGCCGCTTTTGCATGTAAAAGACCAGATGGAATGTCCTCTTCAGCAGAAATAGCTTGCACATTTGAAGCTAGTTGCAATTTAATATTTTACCTGAAATTTTAGGAAGAACGTTTGTGCAAGTTGTTTTTGACATACAATGTTCAATGTGCAGTTTTACTTCATGCTTCCTTCCATTCTGCTTTGTAAACAGGTTCAAAGGTTTGGGACATTTTTACTATATCATTTTTCTGAATCTATAGAGTGTTTTAAAGATGCACACAAAAGCCTTTTGTCACTCTTGATAGAACCCTCAACTGTTAGTCATGTACTCGCAATGCTCAGCTTGTAAAGTTCTGCTCGTTTAAAATGGATATTAAGAAATGATGGCGGCTTTATCATTTTGAGCCTTTACATGAAGTGCAGATGTAGCTATTCAATGTGCAGAGCATTACGTTGTAAATTAAACTCTGACGAAATACAAATGGATTTCTAAAGTGAAGGGTTCATAATCAAAAGAAGTCTTGTTATTTAATTGTTCTCATTAAATCAGTAATCATATAACATTGTTTTTTTTCCCCCATAGGAATGTTCACTTACGATGAGTCCACAAAATTGTTTTGGTTTAACCCATCCTCTTTTGAAACTGAGGGACAGTTTACACTGATTGGGATTGTATTGGGCCTGGCTATTTACAATAATTGTATTCTGGATGTCCATTTCCCAATGGTTGTCTACAGGAAATTAATGGGCAAAAAAGGAACTTTCCGTGATCTAGCAGACTCTCATCCTGTAAGTCCTTTTCAGTTTTCCTACCGTTTGGAAGTCTGCACTTCAGTGTTGTTATTTTTTAAACCTATTGATACTATAGCACTTTCTGAATGTTTACCTGTGTATGTGTGTACAAATCTCTTATTTTAATAATTGTGACAGCCTTGTAAAATGAGGATCAGTATTGCCTCAGAATTTCATACAGGAGTATAATTATTTGCCATAGCCATGCACTGTTATTTGTCCAGGACTGAATTCAATATCAACAGGCCAAATTTAGAAGACACTGCCATGACCAGCAGTGATGTAGCTATGGAATGTATCTTGTGGCTCCTCCCCAGGGGTACATAGCTACAAAGCAGTTTTTTTGTTATTTGCTTTTAAGTTGCCATGTAATCTTAACATTGCATGCTAGCTTGTTCCAGGTGATAGAAGCTATTGGGCCACCTGTGCAGCCACAGTTTGAGGAGGGAAGAGCTCCCAGGTTCGTTTGCTTCTGAATCATAGTTGGCTGTGATTAAGTTGTCTGTACACTCCCAATGTTGTGTACATATTTTAAATAAAAAAAACTGTATATCTGATTGGACAAATGGGTGATGAGTACTTTAAATCTCCTTTGTGACTTTTTCAGCCAAAATTGTTATTTTTTTTCCAGCTATTGGGAGCAATATTTTCCCAGTATATGGAAAAACAGCTTATAAAAGGTGGTTTCATTTTTTTAAAAAAAAAGCATCCTTTGGGAAAAAGACCAAATTAAAGCAGTCCCTTCTTTTTACTCCTTCTCTGATCAAATTCTCAACCTCCAGCTGCTTTTAATTTAATAATATCCAAGTGACTGTTACAGGTGGGTGCATGCGTATAACATCTAGCTTGGCTTTTAGTGTTTGAACACATTCTATGCGTCTTCCTTCTTGTACTGCTTTTTAAGGCTACATGAAATATATTTACTGTTTTAGGTTCTCTATCAGAGCTTAAGAGACTTGTTGCAGTATGAGGGAAGTGTGGAAGATGATATGATGATAACCTTCCAGATATCTCATACAGATCTCTTTGGTAATCCAATGATGCATGATTTAAAGGAAAATGGAGATAAAATCCCTATTACAAATGAAAACAGAAAGGTAATATAATATGGCTGCCACCAATTATACAGTGATTACCTAAGTAAGTAGTATTCTAAAAATGCAGAGATAGCATATTGAGAAAATACATTCTACAACCTGTTTGTGTTATGCAAATTTCTTTTGCAAAATCTCTGCTTTCATAATTTGCATTGTTTTGAAGAATATAATGAACCACACCACAGAAGGGACAAAAAGGTATATAGGGCACTGAAGTCTACTCCCAACCTTATTTTGCTTGACCTCACTAAGTATTGCCACAAGCTTTCAAGTAGAGTTTCATAAGAGCTAGAATTTTACTTCAGATAACTGAAGTCTGTGCCTGACTGGAAGCCAAATTTCCTTGGTGTTTCTAACTGCATTTCTGAGGCATCATGGCATTCATGATGTGCACCGGATTGGTTTCCTCTATAGGCATTGAGATTACAACTGTCAGAATTCCCAGCCATTACCTAGAAAGCATTAAATTGAGGAAGGATGATAATACTGGGTCATAGGGGTTCTCTGAGCTTGGTTTTTCATTTGCAGATATTTCATTACCTACCTAAGTACATATTTAGTGCTGAAGATGTTACCAGGTGGTTAATGAAACATCTGCAAATGAAAAACCAAGCTCAGAATCCCAGCTACCCAAACTCCAACCCTATATTCTCTACCATCAGAAGGATGGTATATAAGGAAAAGGACCATGAATGCAATTTGTGTTTTGATGTAAAATAAGGGATTCTGACTTCTTAATGTTGCAGTATTTTTGAATTTAAAAGTAAAGTAAGAGAATGTCAAATAATGTAAAAGTCAGGAAAAGCACATCCATAACTTTATTAGTTACCATTAAGTTCAGCTAAGTGACAATCATAATAACTAGTTAGCATGTGAGGTGAAGAGGCTACTCTGAATAAAAATATATCTTGTGTTAGATAGTAAGGTGCTCCTTTGTTAAGGAATCCAAAGCCACTAATCATTGACAACTTAGCTAGTGATTTTAAGAAAAATTCTAATAACTTCATTAGACTTGGAAATATTTTCAGCCTTATAGAGGTGAATGGTAAAAAGAAAACATGTTACTTGTTTGCAAAATCATTTGAACATTGTGGAAGCAGTAAAGTCTTACAGATTTGTAACCATTGGAGCTACTAAAGAGGGGAAATTTCATATCTAGTTTTTGAGTAGACAGTGGGAAGAGCATACTGCTCTTTACTTGAGACAAAGGTTCATACTTGACCCAATAAAGAAGCTTGGCATTGTCTGCTTTTTATTAAACAGGAATTTGTTAATCTGTATTCTGACTACATTCTGAACAAATCAGTGGAAAAGCAATTTAAGGCCTTTCGAAGAGGATTCCACATGGTAACCAATGAATCTCCCCTAAAATATTTATTTAGACCTGAGGAGATTGAATTGCTTATTTGCGGAAGTAGGGTAAGGCATCTTAATTGCACAGAAAACAATTTATTGGTTTTGCTGTTTGATGCTAAATTGTATAATGGTGATACAGTATGTTCTGTTTACAGAATCTAGACTTTCAAGCCCTAGAAGAAACCACAGAATATGATGGTGGCTATACCAGAGATTCTCTTATTATTAGGTATGGGGACTAAGCTTTTCCGTGTATAGCTATAGAAAATGGTACTTATTGTTCCAAACAAGTCAAGAGAATAGCCAAATATGATACAAGTCTGGCAATTTTAAAAGAGGGGAAAACTTAAAGGCCTCCAGTCCCTTTAGCTAGACTCTGAAACAAGGAATTTGAAGTGATGGGGATGGGTGCTGAAATAAAAGTAACAAAGAATAGGAGTGGTCTCCATTTCCTGTTTTTCCAACTGCCAGATCCTGTAAAGCATCAATTAACTCTTTGTGTGCATTCATAGGGGTCACTGTCAGTCTCTTTGCATCTCAGAACTTATTTTTTTAGGTCTCGTGCATGAGTAACTTGCGTTTCATAACTGCCTTGAGTTTTTGATAAAGTTAGTTGTGTCGGCATAGAGTCCTCTTGGGGCTTTCCAAAAATTAGGGCAAGACCAAGCAGTCTCACCATTCCTATATCTTCTACCAGCTAGTAGTGTATGCATACTAGCACTTCAACAGCTCTTGGACTATATGGGGAAAATGTTAGACATCTCTTCTCCAACCAGTGAGCAAAGCTGTCTTACTCTCAACAAATGGTGCTTTATTGAATTGGTGAAGGCAAGCAGTTTGCTTCCCTCAAAATAAGGTACTAAGAAAGTTACCAGTGCTGCTTGAAGTTGGAATCTGGTCACAATAAGATCCATGTGGACTTATGAGATACTCTGCTTATGCATCATAATTAGCCTGTTTTAGTCTGCATATATAGAGGGATTTCAGACTTGATAGTCAGTTGCATATAATTTTGAAATGTCCCAAGCAATTATTCCTAAAAAAAAAACAATAAATCTGAGCTGGGCTCTCTGCAGTCTATATATTTCTAGCTGGACTGAGGTAACCAGACGTCCTTTTGTATAAGATAACTTAGAGATTATGTTTTGCACAAGATAGAAAACTATATTTTATATTATATTCTTGTATTGGCTATTTCTGAAGCAAATGTCACAAAGCACAATTTTATCCAAATTATCTCTAAGTGGATATTTGTGTCATTTGCATTGCATACAATTTCTTTTTTTTTTCTTTCTTTTTTTTTTTTTTGCTTAATTTTCACTTCTACAGGGAATTTTGGGAAATAGTCCATTCATTTACAGATGAGCAAAAAAGACTCTTCCTCCAGTTTACAACAGGTACAGACAGAGCACCAGTAGGAGGACTTGGAAAACTAAAGATGATTATAGCCAAAAATGGCCCTGACACTGAAAGGTAAACTGTTTTAAAATTCAGAAATAGGTAGGAAATGTAGTTGAGCAATAGGCTTTCAACTTCATTCCAAACGAGGATTACAGTGAAAAATAAAACATGGACAAAAGATTTCATGGCAATTCTGAAACTCGGCTCTTTTCTTTTCTCCAGGTTACCTACATCTCATACCTGCTTTAATGTCCTCTTGCTTCCGGAGTACTCCAGCAAAGAGAAACTTAAGGAGAGATTGTTGAAGGCCATCACCTATGCCAAAGGGTTTGGCATGCTGTAATGAATTAAATAATAAAAGGGATAAAGCAATTGGTGGCAATGGTGTCCCTGTCCAAAAATCAAGAAGAGAAAACCCACAAAAGGCCATAAGTTATAGCAAGCAAGCTACCGTAGTCACCTGTGCTTGGGCCTCCCTTCTTCACTTGGGGACTCTGGGCTGGAACAGCAGATTTCAGCTGCTTCTATGAACAAATTATTTTCTTTTAGCGTGAAAGTGTTACATATTCTTTCACTTGTATGTACAGAGAGGTTTTCCTGAATATTTATTTTAAAGGGTTAAATCACTTTTGCTTGTGTTTATTACTGCTTGAAGTTGAGCCTTTTTGAGTATTTACAAGAAAACAAAACTGTACTCTCCCAAGGAAAATATTGCCATCATTTGTAGATTGTGTAACCTTTAAGTATGTGCTACATTTTTGTCCCAGTTATCAAATCAAAATCAGGAACTGTACTTTTTGAACAGTTTTGCTTTTGAAACTTGAAGTCTTGGAAAACAAAATGGTGTGATGCAATGACTGCTGTTCTAGCCCCCAAAGACATTTGTGGAAAAACATTAGAATCAATAAAGATGGAAGGGAGAACTTGGAATGTTAAATTACAGCCTTGAGACCTTTACTTTTAGCCACAGCACAACAATTAAACAAAAACAAAAATTCATTTCATTATATATGTTGTCTTTCACATGTCTTGTCTTGTAGCATACCGTGTTTTTAATTAGCAAGATTCCTAGCTATATAGCAGCGTAAACATAGTTTGGGCTTTTTCTTTTTAAGGAAAATGTTTACTGGGAAAAGTGCATTTCAGCCAAACAACTTTAGAGTAGAGGAAAATGTGTTGTGGGAGAAATCAGAATGTTGGGTCTATAAACAAAAGCATGTGAAGTGCACTTAAAAAAGAAACTATGATTTCTCTTATGTTGATACTTTAAATAGACAATCCGGTCTTCCCTGCAAGCTTTTTTTTAATGAACTGCTGTTCCTTTATCAAGGCATATGATCAGTGCTGCAGCAAGGGGATGCCTTTTTTCCTCCTCATCTAGCAATAGGGGAAAATAATTTTTTTAAGGACAACTTTGCATTGTAATACTCCACGTTATTCATTGTATGTGTAGAAAGTAAATCCTAAAGTCACTTCTGTCTTTTACATGGCATATCATAGGTTCGGAATGTAAACCTTTATATCAGAGGAGGATACCTCACCTTTCTACAGAGGGTCCCTACACGCTGCTCATTGCTGCTATTACAGTATGAATAAAGGGACCAGACGTGCTTAACCAAGACAACACAGTTGGTGTTCCTCTCACTGCAAGTGTCAGCTGATGTGCAGAACTGGGATTGTGCCTTGGTGATAGCCATACCTGCACAGCAAAGTGGTTGGTGTAAAATTGGTATTAGTGAAAAAGACTAAAATCTGAAATCATTGGAAGGGGAAAGTGTCTTTCAGGATTATTTTAAAAAATAGTAATAGAAACAGGCAACTGTTCTGTACCTATAATGTCAAATAAAATAGTGATGTTTTCCACTGTGGTCCAGTGACAAAGAAAAAAAGTCATTTTCTTAATATGATATTAATTCTGAATATCATTGGAATTTCTTGGTGAGGAAGTATAAAATTAAATTATAGCGCAGAAAGACACTTCAGTGCTTAGTGTAAAGCTTTGCCTCACAATCGGTACATTTGAAACTGGTTGATGGTTTTCACCACTCAAGCATTTCTTGTCATGAGTGGAATTTTTACTCATGTTAAAAATGCAAGCAGGAAAGAAGCAAAGTATTTCATTTTTGTGGTCGCCTGCCAATAATTTTGAGATACATATTTGAAAACACAGAAGTTAGAAAGCAGAAACTGAGCAGCTGAAATTCTTTTCTAGTTCTTTTAGAGCAGGAACACTCCTGATAGAAGTTTATGCATCAAAGCTGTCTTGTAATTTTCACTTGTACAATAAGATGTACATAGCTAGCATCCTGTTTTCCACTTTCAAAAAAATGCAAGACTTCATCAGTACCCCATTAATTGAAATTCTATGTTAATCTGGAATCACTTATAGTAAATATCTCATTCTTACATAAATGAAAACATTTGCTAATTTCTTTTATAAGCTAAATGTTTATATCACACGTACCGTCAATGTACTAAAATAACAGTTGTGGGAATTCTGAGCAATGAACATCCATTCATGAGTGAAGTAAATGGCTGCTGAATTGTCTAATATGGTTTAAATTACATGTTAGAACAGCTTCCTAGAATTAATTATAGCAAGTTTAGAAGAAATCTTCATCTGAGAACTCTGGCAAGCTGCAACCAGTCAGAATAAAGAAAAAAATACAGGAAACTACTCTCTAGATGTTGCTGAACATCACCTCCCCAGCTGAGAAAGCCATGGAAATGATGTTACAGAAACAACAGGTCAGAAGCATCCCTTAAGCCCTGAGAATTAAAATAATATTAGGAAGAGACGCAGGCTGGCTCCTCCCTGACTCAGTGGGGGGTATACAAGAGTGGGAAAGTAAAACACAAGCAGACTTGCAAGATGGATGTCAGCCATACAAGATAGACTAGCTCAAGAAATTGATTTCACAGGAAGCCTGTGATATTACTGAGTTAGGCTAGAGTCTTCCTGTGGAGTTGGTTTCTGAGCTGGTCTGCCTTGTAGGGCTGACACCAGCATTGCCCATGCTGTCTTAAATTGCTGAGAATTTTCCCAGGCTAGTTATTTTGGGGTGATCACCTTGATGCACTAGATCTATTGATTTTTTTTATTAGGCTCATGCACAGTCTAAGTATGAAAAAAAAATAAGCTTCAGTTTTATTCCAATACCAGAAATCCATCATGGACTAAACTCAAGAGGGAATATCCACTGGGGATCAACTTAAGAAAGAGCCATCTTTTCATCCCCAACATGGCACACATGGATAATGTGCCCACAGGCATTTCCTTTGGTGCCAGCCTGGTCTCCTTTTCATATTTGGAAGGAGGGAAAGTATACAGTTTTCTGAATACCCTTAGTTTTCATTTTTCATTTCATCATAGGCCTGTAAGTGTTCGAAAATAAAATGATGGGTGAGTATATCCCAATACTTTCTAAACGTGCCACCCTGCCTAGGAAAAAAAGCGTATGAAAGTGCAGAATAACCTGTAGACTCAAAAAAAGGGTTGCAGAGAGTAAGTTCATCCACTGGCTTTCTGGGAAATCAGTTTTGTGGCACATTATGGCCACGGTTATATATGGGCCAGCCATCCAAACCACTTATCTCCCTTGACCACAAACTGACTCACTGATTCAAACATTTTTAGTGACCCCTGTTCTAGCGCACATGATGTAATAAATGAAAATTCACAATCTAAACAATTTAAATGTTTACCAGGATTAAGTCTCAACTTGTTTTCATTTACATAAATCAGATATTTGCATACTAACAGAGACAGAAACATAATATAGTAGTAAATCACAACTATTCCAAGAAATAGCCCAAGATACTGCATCCAACTTCTTCCTTCACAAATTTCATTTTGCATGCAGTCAAGAAACTGATGCATAACGTGCAATGTCTTTGGAATTTAACTGCATTGAATTCTTGAAAACCATAAGAAAAAGCAGCTTGATGAAAAGGACACCAAGAAGAGGATTCCAGCATGCCTGTATTGTTATTTTTGCTAAATGGTCAGATCTGATATGAACATATCAAATGTTTCATATTAAAAGAAGAAGACTTTCTTTATACTGTACTAGGGCTGAAATTCCCCATTTTAAATTTTGCTTCAAATTAACGCTCGTATTTTAAGCAATAATTATATTTCTTTGCAACCATGGGGTTTAAATGCATGCCGTTCTTCAGTAGAAGTGATCAACCTTTATTCTACGCCAGTTGTCACCATTTAGATTACCCCAATCAATACAATGTGAAACAAACAAAAAGAAATATTGTGCAGAAAAAATAGGTAATGCCTCTGTTTGCACAACACTTTGTCCATGGTTTTAAAAAGTGTGATTTTTTTGTGGAGTTTTTCACCAGGGCGGGGATAGAAGACATTTGCAGATGATATTCCCAGTACACATTTGGGTTCTAGTAAATGATGAAGCACCAGTTAAGAAATGTGCAAGAAGGGTGGCACATTTTAGTGAATATTAATCCCAGAACAGCTCTTAATCTTGGAAACAAAATAGTCCAAGTCTTGATTAGTGATCACTTGATTAGGGTTGTTATTTAGCCAGTGTCTTTCAATGAGATTCTCTTCAGTAAGTAATTTATTGTAATATTCCCATATCAAAATATCTAATGGGCTGTCGTCTTTGGTAAAATCCATGTCCAATTTCTTTATTGTAATGCTTCGATGGTTGGTCTCTGAACCTATCGGACTCCATTTTCTCTGCTCCTGAGCAGTATCCCATACAAAATCCTGATTTATCTGACATTTCTGCCCTATCTGTTCCTGCAGTCTGTCAGAGTAATAGTCCTGTAAAGGGCAGCCTCGTTCTTGTTTTAAAGTTGCAACTTTCTCAAGAAAGAGCTTGACCTTATCATTTAAAAAGCCATAATTGTGTACTTTTAAATTATTACTTTCGCTGTTGCATATTCCCAAAGGTATGTGGTCTAAATCTAAGAAAAGACTCCGTGAATTTAGTCTCCATTTGTGACCTCTTCTGCTCTTAGCACGTGGGCGTTTTTCCTTCAAAAAGTCCCTTTCTGGACACCCCAGGGATGAAGACATACTAGGATCTGTAGCCAGAGCTGCTGAACGTGGTGGCTGGGGGGAGATTTTTGCAAAGCTGTAATTCACACTGGACAATGTGCCATGTTCTTGATGACAGGAAGTGTGGGGCCTTTTGTATCTAGCAGCACTAGCAGGGTGAATAAAAACAGGCTGACCTTCAGAAACTCCTTTAGTACCCGAGATGACCCTCTTCTGACATCCCAGTTGAGCATTAATTTCTGCTGTAGCTCCCAGGGAATTCTGTGGTTCTTTAATCTCAGCTTCCTTACCTTGCCAGCTTTTGCAGCTGCTGTGATTGTTGGTGACAGAGACGGCCGCCTGCTGCTTCTGAATTCTGTATGGAGCTGAAATAGCTCTGGAGGCTTCTGTATTCTGCAACAGAACTCCAATCGCTTTCTTACTATCATCAGTCACGACAGAATGCAGATTTGGAAAGAGGCTCCGGGAGAGCTGTTTGACAAGCTCTCGATCACCAAATAGCTTGGCATGAGCCACTTCAGATCTCCTGAGCTTCATGATGTATCTGTTGTATAAGATCCTTTGATCAAGATTCAGGGAATTTTCTGCCTGTTTCTTCATGGACTCTAGAATTCGAAGCTGCTTATTTAACAGGATCTCTTCTTTTGCATTGTAAAAGAAAGCCAGCTGGAATTTCTCTCCATCTTTGAATTTAGTTCTTTCATCCATCACAAAACGGGAGACTGGGAATTTAAATCTGAAGCCAAAACAAATGCTTAGGTTTTATAATCTTTTGACTGCTCACTCTTCTTTTCACAGCAAATCATATTTAGCTTTCAATGGTATCTGTTGCTGGAGTGAGCACAATGTCTTTGGACTTCCCCCAAGAGTGATTGTGAATCACAAGAAACCTTGACATGCTACACCAACAATCAAGGGTTTGTTGATGAGATCAAGTTTCTTATCTTTGTTGTTAAGGAAGCAAAAATGAAAGCCTCAAAAATCATACCTGGGGTGGTGGATTTATTTGATTCCTGCCATGGATGGCCATCTTCAGCTAACTTAATATATTTTGCAGGAGTATGCTACATTTTCTGTAACATTAGATTAAATATACATCAGATTTAAAAAATTGCTCCACTTTCAAAAATCAAAGTCTTGTAAACTGGAAGAACTAGCCAGTGTATACATTTTTTATAGTTAAAGCAGCCATAATATGTGAGCAACAAGAAGCCATACCTTTGGATCTAATGTTATACTCAGTTCCTATTTATTTGATTCCTGGTGACCTTGTGGACATTTTTTTTTAACACTAGTACATGAGTAAGGAGTAAGGAGGAGTAAGGAAACTTGAATTGTAGTTTTCACCTAGGCCCAGAAACCTGCAGATGACTTTGGGATAGTCACTCTTTCTCAGCCCTAGGAAGAAAGGAATGGCAAATCACTACCAAAATGTTGCCAAGAAAACAGCATGGACCTGTCCAAGTAGTCACCAGGAGCAAGATTGACTCGGACTATAACAACCATAACTTCTAAGCAAATATAATGACTAAAAATGTTTTCCCCACCCCAAACAAACTGCTTGGAGATCTCTGGGTTTCCGTAATGCAAAGCCTGGGATTTGAAAATTGAATGGCTACAAAGGGAGTAATAAACCTACTCCACCCACAACCTAACAGTCCTTCCACTGAGTGATTATGTGTTCAAGTCAATAAAATAGATGTCTTCCCCATTCCACTGTTCCCTGCCCTTTAAAGAAATTGAGCGAAGGATACAGTGCAAACATAGTGCCATAAATTATTTTATCCCCCTTCTCTGACTTCCTCCCCCACTGTTCAGTAAATAAGCTTTTATGCATTGATT